CTTTTAGGGGTTGATAGTGAAAGAAAAAAGAAAGATGTACGTGAGTGCGTCTTAAGAACTTAAGCATGGTTACACTCACTTGTAATGTATATATGTATATATGTACGCAACGTGGCAGTCCATCTATTTTTCTTTTTTGGTTTGAGCAATCGAGCCACAGCTTAAAAATGGAAAGTCAAACTAATAAGCACAACAGCGATTTGGTGATTGCCTACAAACTACATAACAATTCTCTATACTTTAAAATATAATTTATATCACATCATTCATTCAGAAATATCCTAAAACTAAATCTAAATGGTCACATGCTTTGTGACGTATTTGGAATCTTATAAGTGGTTAATATTATTCATATTTAGGTAACTGCTTGTAATACTCTTATGATATCTTTGGAAACCAACGGCAAATGCAAGTTCCTAATTATTTTTATATAATATCCTCCAGATTGAATTTCGCAGGACAAGATTACAGTGCGCACCTCATTCTCATGGTCCAATGGCTATACGTACTTTTCAAGACACGGAGGTTTAACACCGCCGATTTTCTGATCCCGGGCTATTATTGAGAATTTCTCGACATAAACACACCCAATTACTAATTTTGACGCGATTCGGAATGATGATCATCAGCCACGCGTACGATCTCTAGACCAACGAGGCAGGCGAGTTTTCTATAGAAAAAATTAAGCATTATCCGCCCTATTATAGTTCATTTCAAATAGGATGGCAGGATTCCACTTGAGACTTAGCAATTACAGCTGTAATGTTAATCTATTGTTGTGTGATTATTTTATTGCTTTAACACTTGAAGTTAAGCATCTGTTGATAATACTGAACCAGTATAGCTGGAATGACGAATTTTGGTACTTGAACATTAAAACAAATTAAATTGTAGATAAAAAATCTTTAAAAAAATTTTTTGGAAGAATGTTTGTGACCATGTCATAAGAGTGGAAAACGAATTTTCGAGGGATCGGATACAACCATTTATAATAAATACGTGTGAGGACACAGATACCGATGAATGTTCTTCAGAGTGATTGATTAAACAAAATATTAACAAGTTGTTATAAGTATTTAAAATAGTTAAGTTAAAAGTAATAAAGGTTTGTTATCTACAATTTAATTTGTTTTAATGTTCAAGTACCAAAATTCGTCTTTCCAGCTATACTGGTTCATTATTATCAACAGATGCTTAACTTCAAGTGTTAAAGCAATAAAATAATCACACAACAATAGATTAACATTACAGCTGTAATTGCTAAGTCTCAAGTGGAATCCTGCCATCCTATTTGAAATGAACTATACCAAAAGTAGGTTATAATGTGTCTCAGATTTAAACTAGAGTCGCTTTCAATAAAAAAGTCCCTTGGAGAAGGCGCGTACTAAAATGTAAAGTATAGAATTTGACAACAAAGGTCAAATTTCGCGAATCACCTAAGGGTCTTCTTTCGTGACAAAGACTCTTCTGTAAAACCCTAGATTATATATTATATACACTTTTAACCGACGTCGTCTACCAATTAAGAATCCACTAGGGAGCCATTATATGACCAATGATATTCATTTTATACATCTTTAGTTATTAAGTAACAAATTAAACTTATAAATTCTGGCGTAGTTGGTAAAAAACATATTAATTGACTGTGTTAGTATTTTTAATTTGTCGTAGGATTTTTTTATTTCCCAACTCCTGGTGTTTCCATACATTATTTTGATTAATATGTAACTATTTAAATAAAAATGGAACCTTAAAAAAATTACGCATATTTTTCATTATTTTCCCTCCGTACCCATTTGACTCTGTTGGTGTCTTAAGAGGCAATTATGGGAAAGAGAAAGACTATAGGTAGTAGTATATATTGTATATTTATCCATTTGCCATCTCACAGTCTGTAAAAGTTCACTTCTGGACATGGGGCTTCCCCGCTTTAGAAGTACTTTGCCTTATTCGCTAAGCTTGGCAGGTGAATTGGCGATCATGGTACCAGACGCCTCGCACCTGTGGCGTTGCTTTTTAAAGTTGGGAAAAAATTACTTCGCGTACATCCGCTCGATAGAATAAAATGATGTGTCTTACCTAGTTTGAAGAGCACCTCCCGCCGTCCCTCAATTGCGTGCACTATCACCGTCATCACTAATCCCAGAACCACTTTTCCCAACACCACTACACTAGAAAAGGAACTATTTATACAGACCGCTGATCAGCGGTCTGTATAAATAGCAGTTGTTTTGACTCGCCGCTCACTTAGCGGTCAGCCACCGCAAAGTCTAGGTCACCTGAAGATGTCTCGTGTAGAAGCTAAACACGTGTCGTATTGTCGTCAGTGGTGTGTCTTTCCTAGTGTAGTGGTGTTGAGAGTAGTGGTTTTGGGATAAGTGTTGACGGTGATAGTGGACGCAATTGACGGAGGGCGGGAGGTGCTCTTCGAACTAGGTAAGACACATCATTTTATTTTATCGAGCGGATGTACGCGAAGTAATTTTTTTGCCAACTTTAATATAATGGACTTCCGCAAAGTAACGCCTGATTCTATTAATTAGCGTTGCTTTTTGTTACCTGTTTTGATTATTTAACGTCTGGCTTACAATATGGTTAGATCACCATCTACTGGATGTCATGAGATCTTTCTGACATTTTCCATAGCTTCCTCTTTCGACACTAACGATAAAAAATGGGGTGATAGATTATATTACGTCAACACCACATGGCTCGTATATGCTAGATATAAAGTATGTTGACCGGCGACTGCGAGTAGGGTTAAACGTGACATCTGGTATTGTGATCACCAATAAGTATGCCAGGCCTGGCGATTGTAGCAGGTCCTTCCTACAATGGGAAAGGCCCATCAGTAAACTTTTACAAACTGATGAGGAAGAATATAATTTGTAAAAACCAAATCTTTAAATAAACAGGGCCAACTTTTTAATTCCTTTTTTCTTTTTTTACATTGTATCAAAAGTCCCTGCTGAACATAAGGCTCCTTTATAGATTGCTTCATAAAGGAGTAAAGTTAAACATTATGGAATTTTTACACTAAGCACATTTAAAATGAAATATGTCACTGGTAGGTTATATTTTTTAACTTTTTTAAGTCAGCCAGTGTAAATGTATGATATAAATATGTCGCATTATCTCGTATTTTTTAAAAAGTATCCGTTCATTTATTTAAACCGCTAGGCAAAATAATTATAATTAATTACACTGCAGTCATGAAAATACTACTACTTAGAGTTACTACATTTGTCGAACATCCTTCAAAACTAAACTAATGTAATAATTAATTACTTTAGGCTTCTTAACACTAAATTGCTTTATTGTACTCATTGCTGCACTAACTGCTAAAACTAAGCGTTAAACAACTAAGTCCTTGTAAGCCTATAAACGTTTTTCATTGTTTGGTATATATCTCTCCCAAAAATACCGAAGTAAAAACATGATGTAACTTTTTTATTGATAGTGCATTTTTATATGTAATTTTTTTCATATTGAAATGTCCATAAACCGAGCAATAAAGTTAGAAAGTCGTGTGTTTCAGTTGAATTTCATTTATCTTAGCCGGCGACGGGTTAACTATGGAACTTTTCATGGTACGTCTACATAATAAAATGGCGGAAAATTAAAGACGTTAAAATTATACGCGGTAAAATCCGTAAAATTAATTTTATTGTTTATGTAGTATTCGCGTAAATATAGGAAATCATTACGAGAAGTGTGATGCAATAATAGCCAATAATAATTACAGGAGCTCTACAGGTAAGGTACTATGAGTAGTGTGGATATTTCAAATGGAAACTAATATCATCTAGTACGTAATAATGGATCACTCCAAATCTAAATTTAACTAAGTAAAACAGGTAGATGTAAATAGGCGTACTGATGAGCGGTATCCATGATCGGAGACTCTTAACTTCAAAAATTGAAAAAAATCCATTCATATGCTAAGAAGAAGCAGATATAAAAGGAGCGGATAACCGTGGATCGAGAAATTTAACCGAAGGGAAGTTTCGCTAAAACGGTACTAAACGCAATCTACATTTCCTTATTGTTCAAGCAAAAATTCGCGTTCATAGGCTTATTGAATTCACGCTGTATTGTGATTGTGTATTATAATTTTCCATAACTATAGATACACACTTCGAACCATCGAAAGAAACGACACCATATGATACGATATTTTCTAATAATATATTACAAATATAAATTGTACCTATATATTTACAAAATTATCCATAAATGCTACTATAATTGGCGATTTCCGGATTGATATCCCATATGGTATGGAAAAAACGGTAACTAATTTCAGTCATTTCGAATTCGTAAAATAATATAGTCTATGGAATGTCTATATTTGTATCTAATATTATCAAGCACAGTTAATAAATACTGCGTATTGTAAGCAACGTACAAATTATCAGAAGCACCACCAATCAAATAATTTATGTCGGGTAAAATCAGAGTCAAATTCAATATCAACCATAGATTTATTGTCTACGAAAGACATACACATGTCAAAAGTTAAAAGTAATTTTCATTAAATCACATTTTATTTGGGATATATATCACAGTTTGAGCTGCACTCGTAAGGGGAGTGTAGACTCTTGGCGTTTCTCAAGATAATACTTACAAAAGACAATAAAAACTAGGAATGCACATCAAAGTCCAAATAGACCATCCGGGCTTACTTGGCACCGAACCGTTACATAATAAATGTAACAGTACACAATACTGAAAAGGTAACACTATAACTGATTTCAAAGTTAATTCGCGTACATTATATTCTTTTATTAGACTTACATTATAAATAAAAAATTAAAAACCATTCTTATCCATTGAAGTCATATATCCTTTGGTATGATCCAATTCATTATCACGATTCTACAGAGCATTTACGATCGGCAATCTCTCGATTTTTAAATGAGCTGAAGCACGAACTAGAAGATTCGTCAAAAAAACATACTTCGGTTTCAAAATTTACTAGCGACCTGATTTTTAACAATTTAAGTACCGGACACATTGTTACCATATTGCAATCCAAACATAGAGAGTATTACAAAGGCAAGACCTAGGAACACTGAACCTAATAGATCACCTAACGCCGTCAAATAAGGAATGGCCGCGTTGTCTGGATCCTTCTTCTTCTTCCACATGAAATGGATCAGCATATACGCTAAATACAGGAGCATCATGACCTGAAAGAAAGATTTGAAGTTGTTAAAGGGTGTAAGTTGATCGAAAAATCTACTATTAGCATAGAAGATTTATTTTATAGAAATTCTTATTTGCTGCACTTTATTATAAATAAAGTGAAATTAAAATCTGCCAACACGCATTTGGGCGTTAGTTAGTTAGGGTTTCTCTGAGAAATGAGAGGAGACCTGTGCCTAGGAGAATGATGTATGTAGATTTCATTTATTCATTGATTACAGTCCATTAAACTTCCACTGCTAAACATCGGCCTCCCCCACATGGGAATATTTGCCATAGTCGCCATGCTTCTGTTGGGTTGGCAACCGCAGTTTTTTTTATAGAAGTGGCTTAAGAGAATCCATCTACGCTTAACCTTCCGTGGGTATCGCAAGTTACAGCAGAGGAAGATGAAAGAGATGCAGCATCAGCGTGATAACAACACGATAGTAATAAAAATAAACTGTGGTTTGTAGATTTTTACCAAAAATGTTTATACCAATTGTAGGTTATTATTTATTACTATACTAGCAGACCCGGCGAACTTCGTACCGCCTAACAGTCGATTCTTTAATTTTTTATTTTTTTTAATACTTATTCTGCTATTCGGGACACCGGGATAGACAATTTGTTTTTACCGCCTAACAGTCGATTCTTTAATTTTTTATTTTTTTTAATACTTATTCTGCTATTCGGGACACCGGGATAGACAATTTGTTTTTGAGTAATGTTACCATCGTATAAATATTGACAAATATTTATACGATACGATAAGATATGATACGATATAGTATTTATACGATACTAACGTCACTCAATTGTTTTGCCTTCCCGAAACCCCTTCACTAACACTAAAACTTTATGGTATGGTATTAAAATTCAAATTGACTTTTAAGTATTATTACGAATCTTTTGTATGGGAATATAGAAAAGTGTTGTTTTTAGAGTTTTTCAGGCAATTTTATAAATTTTTCTCTCCGTAAGAACCATCTTCGTACTTCAAGGAATATTATAAAAAAAGAATTAGCGAAATCGGTTCAGCTGCTCTCGAGATTTGCGCTTAGCAACACATTCAGCGATTCATTTTTATATTATAGATAAAATCATTCTGTTAGAGATTTTTTAAGTTTCTTATGACCCTTTGGAGTTGAAACTAAAGACAAGACAACTAGAACATCGTCTTCACATTTACATTAAACATTTCATCCCCTAATTTTCTTAACTTAGGGGATATTTTTTTAAATGGAACTACCCTCGATGTTTTTTTATTTTTTTATTTGCAATAAAAAAGAAAAATTAAAATAAGTTTCCGACGAGTAGGGATATCTCATACACAACACAAAACTTCAAACAAATTGGGAACCTTCGACTTTTTAGAAGTCGGTTAGAAATTGTACGAATTATTAAAGCATACACATACCTGTAGCATAGAGCAGAGAAGGTATGTGAGTCCAAACGCGAATTGGAGACTGACGAAGCCCTGGTAGATGAAGTCGGCGACAATCATGAACACGACCTGTCCGCACATCGCAAGCACGAGTAACATTCGTGCCACTTTTGCCGCGGTAGCTGTAAAAAAATAATTTCAATCGAATGTAATTTTTATAGTTTATTTAAATAAAAGTTTTCTTCGGATTGACATATCATGCAATCTATGCATGCAACAGTTCGGTAGTACACCAAAAAAAAAATTGTGCGTGTCACCTCTGACGGATTAAGAAGCTGCTCGTTTATGACAATTTTGGATTAATTATGTATTCACAGCAAGCGCTTAGTCCCGAGCTATCACGGTTTCACAATACGTAAGCAACCCGGGTTAGATCCCCGCCGGCAGCAATGAAATTGTTAATTGCTGATTTACCACGTACTCGACGGTGAAGGAAAACGCGTGAGGAAAGCTGCATGTCTGAGAAACAAGAAAAAATTTCGAAGGTATGTGAAGTTCGTCAACACGCTTTGGGGCAGCGCGGCGGACAAGTCCTTGCCCTAAAACCCTCTCAGTAATGAGAGGAGGCATGTGCCCAGCAGTGGGTCGTATATAAGTATAGACTGCACCTTTAACTTTTTATAACTTTATGTATTCCCAATTTAGTTTGTTTGTTATTAGATTCGTAATTAAATAACGAATGATATTTTTTTCGAATAAGATGACGTAATTGGTAATATCAATATCAGTAATATCTTTGTGTTTGAATAAAAATATTAACTTATATTTTTAACCATTAAAATCATAATTTGTTTGTTTAGAAAGAAATTTTAACTATTAAATAAATTCAAACGTTATCGCCACCTTTACACGTACTCAGTATAAGATGTGCGATAGTGTGTTGCGCGGAGGGGCAATATAACGACTTCACTTTTTGATAACACTCAATTTCGATTCCATCTTCAAACCGCGGGCTATATATAAAAATCGATTCTTATGGAGTAAATTGGAATACACAATATATTATATTGAAATAATATGATGAAATAATATGGGAATACAAAAATTAATCGACAAAAATTAGAGGTATTTTTAAATCTTATTTTGGCTGCGCGGCAAAAGTACAAAAAAATTAATTTGTCTTTGACATTGTCACTTAATTTTTGCGAAACAATAATCCCACCACTAGGGATACACAAGTGAAAAAAATATATCGATATATATTGTATCGATATTTTTAAACAGTATCGATATCGCGTGAAAATATGGATATATCGATATATCGTCATCATTTGCATGATTACAGGATAAGGCTCAAAATTTAATTACTGTCGGTTGAATGACGAAAAAAATGATATATCGATATATTGCGATTAAAAATATCGACGATATACATATATCGATATTTTTATGAAAATATATCGATATTTTGATATATCGATATTTTTTGTTTAAGCCTATCCACAATAGTTCAGAGATCTCTTTACTGTTATGCGGGCTGTCATTAAATGCGATAAATTGATTGATGATACCGCACGAAAGTCCGCTATGCAGCATGATCAGTCATGTAAATCATGTCACGCTGCATTGCCGTGTAGGTGCTGCTTAAGAGTTAATGCAGTAAAAAGGATTTCATGTTACAAATAAAATAAACTCACTCCCATAGAACAGCGTCCTCCAAGGCCACTCCACTATCCTCGTGTTCTCGGGCAGAATGCCAAGAATGGCAGTTTGATGGAGGTGTGTGGTGAGACGCGATGACTGGACGCAAACGAGGTTCCCGCCAATACCATTAACAATCGGCTGGAACACTTCGTACCCTGGATACTGCTCAACGGCTTGATCGAGGACTATTCCACCGATACTGTAAAGAGGGAATGTAAATTTCACAATGAGTACACCGACAGGAAAATTCGGTACCTATTCCCAACTAACATTTAGGGAGGACAGTAGTTCTCATATCTAGTAATCTATAAAAAAACCAGTTTTTTCTCAGTTTCTGTATACCTACTTAGCTAATAAACGTAGCAAATGATAAAATTTCGAGATGTTATAATTTAATAATGAAGGCGTCAAGTGCCTAATTATTAATCTGTGTTCATTGGGTCGCGGTGTAAAATATAGGGCCTTACTCATAAAAATCAATATCAATTTAAGAAATGCTTCAAGATGCATTTTCTCTCTCTATTTTCACTTAACACCAATAGAAAGGGACGGATATAGAGATAATTAATACTTAATTTAAGCGAGCGTTTATCAACGATTATAAGTAAGGCCGCTAGTTTCCACGTATCCTTATTTCCCTAGATGGTAGGACTGCTTTTCTGCCTATGAGTCTATCTGGACGGTACTTTCTTATCTATTTCTGCCATCAAATAGCAGTACTTGCACTGTCTGTTCCGGTCAGAAGAATATACAGAGCCAGTATAATTAGACCCTGTGAGAGATTCCATCTTGTTCCTCAGAGGATAGAGACGATATTTATCCTCTCTATCCTAGGTAGATGAAGATGTTTCTCTCAGCATCCACTTACCATCAGGCTGATTATGTACTCATTTGTCACTCTGTTTGTGTAAAAACTTTTCTTATGGTGAGTATAGAAAACCAGAGACCGTTTTTTACAAGAAAGAAGGCATTTCATCTTCCTATTATCAATTATGATGCAGGTGTTACCGATTCACAGCATCCACTTACCATCAGATGAACTGTGTATCCGTTTGGCAGGTTGTTTACGAATCAGGCATAGTATAAATGATATATTATGTATGTGTTTATAATGACTTCAATGTAATTAACATACCCGCTAATGAACAGCGCGGATATGACCGGAGTCCAGCCAGTGGTAAGCACCTTCTTTGTGTACTTGTTCCTCCACACGATGAAGACCCAGAGTGGAAGTAGGCTGTAGTAGACACACATAAGCGCTATGGGCTGCCAGAGTGATATCTCTAAAAATAAAATTTATGAAAATTAATTTTGGATTCAGAAAAAAACGATTATTCTGGATTACTCACACTCGATATATAACTTTTATAGTATCAAATAGCTTATATGTCCTTTTCCTTCTCGTTCTGTGACTATGAAATACCAAAAAGACCTTAAGGATTCCGATAGAAGACGGTACAACCACACAGAGGATACCAGCGTAAAATACCAGCTCAATGCTGTTGTATGATGAGTGTAGATAACCGGAGACCCTTTTTACTGGATACGAGGCATTGCATTTTGCTCCTCGGGGGTGACAACGCATCTACATTTTGATTCTTAATCGAGGATAGATGTAGATGTCGATGAGTCACAGCATCCACTTACCAGCAGGTGGGATGTGTGCTCGCTTGTCACCCTAATTCTATTTAAAAAAGAACGCCTCGTATATGCCAGGAGTGAAATAATCAGAACGGCCACAGGAGGCAGCATCAAAGGTCAGGCGAGACGATTTAAGCCAATCTTCTGTACAATGGGAGAGGTCCATGAATTTGGAATTGGGCATCTTCATAGTAGGGAAGAAGTCCCCCACGATAAAAAAAGCCTCGATCTGGTAAGCGGAATTTAGATTATTCCGAAAATGGAAAGAGTGACAACCTGGTAAGATATATAGGAAATCGATGGATTTAGACCGTGTTTCGTGCCATTCAATCATCACTTGTAATGGGCTGTAATGTTATTGATGATGATTGGTTAACTTTGGAAATTGCTAGACTTACTTATCTGTTCGTACATATACTGCGCGGTGACAGCAAGTACGGAGTTGCTCACGATGTCTCCGATAGACGCCGCTAGCGGTGTCGCCACGTTGTCCGGGTTCACTTTGAACTTCTGCGACCCGAATATCACTAGCACCATCACGAAATCTGTAAAGCGTAAGTTTCTTTACAAACTGCCTCACAGTAAAATGAACCATTGCTTCCTTTTGGAACGAAGTTTCTTATCGCGCGGTAAGAATTTGGCGAGAAAAAGTGTAAGATTTTTCCGTCTCGACCCCTTCTGACTTAGTGTAGACAGCCTTGGCGGCTTTAAGGAAGCGAGATGGAATAATATCCATCTCCCTCGCACTTTTTCTTATCTTGCCATGAAAGATATATTATTTTATTGTAAATGAAGCTTAATTTTAATAGACGCTAGTATGTAATTCATTTAAATGTATGTGTCAATCAATAATATAATATGTTTATCAATAATAATATACCACGAAAGGAACTTCGTTCCGACCGAGTGTTCCACGACACTCACGCATGTTTTTTTTTTTGCTTTATCAGCCCATAACAGTTCACTGCCGGACATGGGTCTCTCCCATAGTTGTGATGACTTTCATCTTTGACGGTGCTTGTCGACTGTCGGAATATTTTACGCCTGGCGTCAAAGAGATAGCAATGCTATGGCAATACAGTTCTGCAGCAAAATTGAGAGCTCTTTTAGACATATTCCATAGTCGTCTCTAACGACACCCGCAGGACAAAACGCACAGCTATGTGCCGTTTCGGACTTGCGATGGAAATATACACGAGTGTATTAAGGTTATAAAATATATTAAAATTTATAAAAATTATGAATCACTAATAATCTAAGATTTCTCATTGTACACTTTCAATCGCTTTGTTTTTTTTTTCTAATTGTAAATGAGGGAAACACACATGGGGATGGGCAGCAGCGCCTTCCTTATAAGAACTTATTATTATTTTATATTAATACCTAAGTGTTTTAAGAGAACTTCTACATCTATCATCGATTAAGAATACAAATGTAAATGCGTTATAGCCATTGAGTATTAAGATGAAATGCCTTATTCCCAGTAAAAAAAAAAATATCCGTTTCTTTACACTCGTACCATACGTGGGTGACCAAGTTCTCACAGAATATCACCGTAAAATAGTTTCGCATGACATGATCCAGAAACCCTGTACCTAACTGGGCCAATGCATATGTATCTTGATACGTAATCGAATCTAGATTCTAGATTGAATCTAGATGGCATTATCCACTTTCCATCAGGTGGACTGTGTGGTCGTTTGTCACCATTACTACTATAAAAAAAACCTGAAAGTGCGACTCGGTCTCGCGCACCGAGGGTTCCGAACAAATCCGTAGGTATATAAGTTTAAAATTATTAAAAATATTTTTATTATATGATGTAACTAAAAATTTATGCTTTTCGCAATTTTTTCTTTATTTGTGCTATAATACGTTGCTTCGTACCAAATTTTAAGATTCTGAGTTCACGGAAAGTACCCTGTAGGTTTTGATTCCCTTGCGAATGTCGAAAATTTGCGGCATAAACGGCTGTATCTTTTGATTGCGTTGGCTTAGACGTTTGATTTTTTACAGCTCCAAGGGACACTAAACTTGAGTATTTGATATGAATTTCAGCTTGATACCTCCGCGTTCCTGAGAAAAAGGGTCTTGACAGACAGACAGACAGACAACAAAGTGATCCTATAAGGGTTCCGTTTTTTCCTTTTGAGGTACGGAACCCTAAAAATAACTCACCTAATACGAAGCAAGTAGTTGTGGCGGTGAAGACGGCGGAGGCGATTAGTAGCAGCACATAGCTGCCGTTGAACGCCCTATCAGTGATGGCGTTTACTGTTATTGCGAACATCGATACAACTGTTGCGGCCACTATAGCTTGCACCTAAAACAAATTATAAAAGTGTTTATTTGAATTAACAAAAGCATTGGTGGAACCTAATTTTAATGAACAAAAACTGTACAAAAAGGTATTATCATATTTATTCTGTGGTATAAATGAATTAGGTGATCGCTTCCAAGCTGTTTCTTAAATAAGTTTTTTTTTTAATTTATTTATGTACACACAACAAGATACAGAAACAGTCTTATAGTGTGTTTGTATAAAGGTTCTACTTGTTCCATAATTTGATAAAATATCTTCCAGTAGACCCACAAAGGAAAATATATTTAAAAAGGCAAACTTAGTGCGTAAAATACTAATACTACTGTAAATAATATACAAAAACATAACATTATATTAAATATAAATATATATAATATAATAACATATTAAATATGAAAATTGATTAAGTTTTAAAAGTAGTAGTATTTATTTATTTATTCATTTAATTTAATTATACGTAATTTATCCAATTACAATAATTAAATAATAATAATTTCATACATTATAAATAATAACTAACTAACATAAATTTATACACATAACTCATAGGAATTTACACTAATAATAATACAAAACTAATTGGATAACTCTCACATAGTTTTCACAAAATTTCAAGTATACCATACTTCTGTTTTTAGTGCATTATTTATCTTTAAAAAAGTCCCGCTGGGTTTCTTGCGGTTTTTCTCCGAATAAGTAGAAAAAGAAAAAAAATGACTTAAAAATTTTATTGTAATCATAAAAAATATTCTAATCTTTTAAAGTAGGGCATCGTTCACCTCAAAACTCGAAAACAAGAGTATATTATCACAGCGAGTTACCAGTGATTACTTAGTAGTTCTGAAACGTGATCCACAGAGTACATTGTATATAGGGGGACGTGACCCTTCACGGCTGGACGTATAATGAAGCTCAAGGTCGGTTGCGAGCTATGGAGAGGGCTATGCTCGGAGTTTTTCAGCGTGATAGATTTCGTAATGAGTATATCCACAGTAGAAACAGAGTAACAGACATATTCCAACACATTAATAAGCTCAAGTGGCAATAGGCCGGCCATACAGCTCGAAGAAACAACAACCGATGGGGAAGAACGGTTTTTAAGTGGCAGACTTCTATCAGTAAGCTAAGTATCGTGCGACTCCCTACTATCTAGTGACCTGGTGAAAGATGCAAGAGGTCGATAGATACACGAGGCTCACAACCGCGTTTTGTGGTATCCCTGTGTGCTGTAATGATCGTGATCGTCACGATGAATTTCTTTTTATAATCTATCAATACCGTACATGTATGTACATGCGTAATACATAAACACTCACGCCTGTCACCCATAGGGGTAGGCAGAGACTACGGACTTCCATTTGGCACGATCGTGACACACCTCTCTCGCCTCCTTTATATCCATACACCTACGCATACATATTCGTCGGTTAAGGGTACTCCTAATCTGGCCCATTTTCAATATATCGCCAATTTGGTCGATAAACTTTCGTCTAAGGCGTCTCTTTCCGACTCTGCCGTTCACATCTGCAACATAGATTTTCTTTGTCACTCTTTCCTCGTTCATTCTTTCTACCTGACCAAACCACAGGAGCATTTTTTTCTTAATCCTGGTCACAAAATCATTTTGCAAACCACACTTCTTTTATCGCACAATTCCTTACCCTGTCATACATATTAAGCCCTAACACCAATTTATTTTTTAATTATTTATTTGTTTATTTAAAAAAAGGTGTAGCTACAATTGTTACAATTTAACATACTAAATCTAAATGTATAATAAAGTCTTATACTAATGACCCCCAACGACTAACGAACGACGATCTCGACGACGAAATCCACGACTTTTTCTCACACCAGGGCGGCGCCACTTAAAAGTGAGGCCACTTATTTGACAGATATCATAGCGGGAAAGTTAATTTATTCGGAAAATGTAGAGGTTAATGTTTCTTTCTGTGTTATGAGCTATCTTTTATATTAATAACATTAAAAATAAATAAACCAAACCACAGATATTCATAAAAGTAGAAAAAAAATTAAAAAAGTTAAAAATATGCAAAAAATTAAAGAGCGAACCACTGAGGCATTGTTTTGTGTATTAATATAATACTTTTGAAACTGATAAACTTATATTAAAAACTAACTTCTTAATCTCAATTCTAAATGACATTCTGTAACAAAAAACTTTACCGCAGTGTCAACTAGCGACATCTGGTGAGCAGAAAATTATTAGCCCTCATTGCACAATTACTTACAGGTAAACACCGCTAGACCATAATCTTATTTTATATGTTATGTTAAGAAAAAACAAGTTAAAACATTTTAAAACAAAAAAATCAAAGGATTATAAAGAAATTTCTCTAACCGGTGAAGAAATGGCAATAAGGAACTCCACGAGTGAGTTTCTATTTTTTGATCTATATAACAGTAGCTTATTAGAAATTTGAGGCACTAATTACACACTCATTTTGAATTTTCGACCTACTTCGAGTCCTTAACGAAAATATTAATCAAGTTAAATGTGTCACTTGTTTTTTTTTTAATTATCTATTGTGTTGTCTAAGCTACGTTCGATATAATTGTTAAAAGTATAAATAATATTTTACCTGCACTAGTGATATGTTTCCAACGACCATGGATATGACTTCCCGCGGCGATTCCATGTTGCCGAGATTAGCTTGCGTTGATAGCCGGGACGCGAGGCACATGTCCAGGTTACCTACGGAACGAGACAAAAAGATTTTTGTTTTTAAATATATCTAGACATATTTCGTGGTATGAGGGACTGCTGAAAAGTATGAAACATACGTTAAATGCCAATATGTATTATGGGAAATCCGTTTCCTTTGATGTGTAAGCGACGCAAGAAAACTATTAGAGTTAGCGTTAGTATGTACTGTACTTGTACCGAGTAGGGGCGGTGTAAGAATATCCATTACCCCATATCATCCCGTGGGCGCTGTAAGAAGCGACAGATCGTCTTCCTGATTGACTACAAATAAAAAAACTGCATTTGATAACCTGCTTGCCAAGCGTGACAACTATGGCAAATATCCCCCCTATGAAGCAATCTATGGGCTTATGTTTAGCAGTGGACTTTAATAGGCTCTTAAATTAACCACACTAATTGTACTGTCTAAATGCCCAATCAACTTTATCGTAAAATTCAACAAAGTGAAGGCACCTTTTACGTGGTAGAGTCAAAATGAACCTTGTATAAATTAAATTGACTGAGAAAGGACTAGTTTTTCATAGAGCACCAGCGTTAAATAGTAACGTTATTAGGGTAAAATAGCTTATGTGTTTATTATGGTTAAAGTAGAAAACCGGAGATCCTTTTTACTGAGGCATTCCATCTTGTCGTCAGGTGTGACAACGGCCGCACATATGCATTTTGATTCATGAAAATGATGATGATTCGTAATCAATGAAATGATGTCCTTATCTATCGTCCCTTCTTCTATGATAAAACATAAATCTCACAGCTTCTTTTTAATAAAGAGTGATCTAATGAAAAATCCATTTCATCTGACAGTAAGCAGACTCTTGTCCCTAATTCATGTCAGTCCGTTAAAACCGCTGATGCCATCAAAAACATAACTTGTAAAAAACCAAGTCTTGCAACTCAGTTCTTTTACCGTAAAAAGTTGTGAGATCTATGATCGGTTAATTTATTCAGTCCCTATTTAAGGGTCCTTTTGTCTTAAGTTATTACGTAATTAGCTAACCTAACAACATCTTATAGTGACCACATCAATACTAAAAATCTTTTATATTTTAAATAAATAGATTGACTTGGCTATCGCATGAAAACACAATGTATCTCTCAAGTAATACATATTATATTAAATTAGATTGTTTAATGCGATTGCCAAGTCAATTTATTGAGGCTTCTAGTTTCATCCACAACAAAGTTATAGAGTTTCAAAAATGGCCTGAACTGCTTGGAGAAAAGGATGGTACGGCCATGCCGCTTTTTTGCTCGACTTGTCGGGGGCACTGCAGTGTCCCCAGATGACGTTAATTCCTGAATGTCGTCGTGCGTGTCAGAAAATTCCTAGTGTAACTTAAATGAATAAATTTAAGAACTCCCGCAATAAAAGGAGCTGATGATCTTCAAACGGCTAAAAAGATATTCTTGAATCATAGCTAAGAACACTCTCGATCAAGTCACCTTTCAAACAAAAAGAAACTAAATCTAAGCCGATTAATCCGTTCGGGAGTTACGATGCCACAGACAGACACTAAGATACACGGATACAGACGTTAAACATATAACACCCCTCTTTTTCGTCGAGTGTTAAAAACGCACTTGCGATGGTGTATTGCCAACCATCGATATATGTGGATAGAATTTAGAATTGTGTCATTATAGTTGATAGAACTTATATATCACTAGCTGACCAGGTAGACGTTGTTCTGCCCTTTCCGACGACCATGTGTTCTATAAAAATTCTTAAATTTTTAATAAAAAATATTGAGGGTCACTTCTCAGGATAAAAACTATCCTATCTCTCAAGTTGGACCAAACAGCACAGAGTGTGCAAATTTCATTGAAATTAGTTAAGTAGTTTAGGAGTTCATTGCGGACAAACAACGTGACAGGTAATTTTTATATATAAAGATTAGCTGCATTGTCAAATGTATTAATCATAAGGCTTAATGTACAAAAACAAAAAAGTTTGCATGCTATGTATAACTGAAGCAAAACATATTGTTTAAATGTATAATATTTGTAAAATCTTTTTCATTGAATATTTTAAGCAAATCAATATATTATATTATTATCGCTTAGAATAAGTTAGCGCCTAGAATTAATCCGAACAATTCTTCGAAGCCATTAACTTAGTAAATGCAGAAAAATGTACGTTAAGTAAAGGAAAATTCCTTTATATAACGGATCCGTTACATAACTGCATTATCATTGTCAGATCTAGTACATATTTTCAGGCGTGGCCACATCAATTTTGCTGCCCAGTAGTGGACTTTAGTCGTTATTACAAAGACGCTGTTGCCCATTTCCTGATTTTGTTTCCCTCTGTCGCCTATTACGACACCCACGGGATAATATGAAGTAGCGGATATTTTCACCGCGACTACACGGTTAAGGTTTTTTTAATTGAATTGTAAATAATATTTCCATTTTGGGATACTTACTTACTTACTTACTTACTTACTTATCTTCACGCACAATCCCTGACGGGGTAGCCAGAGAGAACAGATCGCCAAGTGTCACGATCCTTACATATCTCTTTCGCTTCTTTCAGATTCATTATCTTCTTCATACATGCACGTCTAGGTATCCGAGTACTCTTGACCCTACCCTCTTCGAGCAATTTGCTCACATGGTCTTCGAAAGTTAGTCTCGGTCTACCTCGACACCTTTTAATATTAACTTTCGCGCTATATATTTTCTTCACCATTCGGTCTTCACTCATTCGCTCAACGTGCCCAAACCACCGAAGCACGCCCTTATCAATTTTTGTGATAAGGTCATCTTTCAAACCTGCCATATTGCGAATCTCTTCGTTTCGCTTTCGGTCGGCCATAGTAACGCCGCACATTTTACGAAGAGATCGCATCTCCACTGCATTCAACTTACTTTTATGCTTCTTCTGGCATACCCAGGTTTCGCTGCCATATAACAAAGTCGGTACCAACACTGCGTTATGTATTGCAAGGCGTGCACTCTTCGCTACGCCTTGCCTTTTGACTAACGCAGTCAGGGCACCATTGACTTTGTTCCCGGCAGCGACACGCCTGTCCACATCTAAATCACATCTTCCATCCCGGCTAAAAGCACTCCCCAAGTATACAATTTCATTTACCTGTTCTAGACATTCCTGATTTACCCATATTTCACACTTCGTTCTCTCTTCGTCCCTTTCAAATACCAGAACCTTAGTTTTATTAGCATTCAAACGGAGACCTTTAATTTCACATTCCTCTTTCATACACGTGACTAATGCCTGCAGTTCTGCCTCTGATGGTGCAATAAGCACTGCATCATCAGCATACAGCAGACAATTTACTTTTATGTCACCCAATTTCACACCCAAACAGCTATCTTTCAGCTTTTGTAAACAGCTGTCGAGATACAGTATGAACAGCCAGGAAGACATGACACAACCCTGTTTTACGCCCGTTTGGACGCTAAACATGGGTGACAGGTCATGCCCTACCCGCACACAGGCTTTACAGTCACAGTAAAGAGACTGCACAGCCCTTAGCAATCGGCCATCCACACCATACCCCGGCAACAGTTCCCACATTTTCTTCCTTACAACCTTATCAAATGCTTTCTCAAGATCCACAAAAGCACAGAAAATCTTCTGGTTAACAGCCAGAAGCTTTTCCGTGATCATACGGAGAGAAAACATTTGATCCGTGCATCCTCTTCCAGGTCTAAATCCGCATTGTGCCTCCCATAGAAATCTTTCCGATTTCTCTTGCATCCTACGTGTCAAAACCTTCGAGTAAACTTTACTTGCTAAACTGGTCAAGCTGATCGCCCGATAGCACCCGCAGTCAAAATGTGAACCTTTACCTTTATATAAAGGCACAATGACTGCGGATCGCCAATCATCCGGGACATCCCCCGTCCGCCAGCACAAATTGCACAGCAGATGAAAGCTGTCCCAGACGCGAGGCCCACCATACTTGACCATTTCAGCAGTAACTCTGTCTAGTCCCGCAGCCTTACCACATTTCAAACTTCGAATCGCACGTTCAATCTCTTTCATACTGATGACCTCAGTGTCATCGAGGTCCGGGTCTGGCGTGCCAGTCACGGCGTCATCCCCGGATCCCTCACTAAGATCATCACACGCATACATTTCTCTATAAAATTCGCTCCATCGCTGCATGACGTCCGATTTTTCTGAGAGGACGTCATTAGTTCTCGAAAGCACTTTGGGATAATTTCTAATAATTATTATATCAACATCAGAAGCGATAGTGGGCAGACATTTGTAAACGTTTACAACATTTTGTTTCAATATACACCTTAACACGTTGAGAGAGTGATGAAATTACGTTGTCTTGTCGACCTGACTTGGGCCTTATCGATGACAAAACTTTCACAAACACGGTGCGTAAGTCACGTTTGTTATAGTTGACATTATCAACTCGCGTGTTGTGAAATGCAACATTAATCCAATATCTAACAAAGTTACAGTGTATAATGGGCCCCACTCCTGGGTACAGGCCCCCTCTCATTTCTGAGATAGTTTTCATCAGTATCACCATCGTTATTTACAGCCTATCTAAGGTTGCACCTGAACATAGACCTCTCCCTTTGTTTTCTATACCATGGTTGCTACGCGTGGTAGGTGGGTTGGAAACCGCCGTTTTTTTTAAATTATTTTTCTTGTTCCATTTCACTTTGTCGCCTCTTACGACACTTACGGCATAAAAATGAAATAATATAATTAAAAAAAATTAATTAATAAAATATTACTCATGAAAATCACTCCATAATCTTATGTAATATTGAAGTGCTGGAATAATTATTTGTCTATTATCTAAATATTATCTAAAAAACTTCAAAGAATTCCCTCCAATTTTAGTCTACTTTATAAAAAGAAGGAAGTTTTCAATTTGGTTGTATGCTTTTTTTATTTTTAAAAACGTTATTGTATTTATGTCATGCGAAATATTCATCAATTTTAAATCGATTTAGATATATATTTTTAAATAGGTTATATTTCAGAGATGGTC